TTTGACATACCCCCAACCGACCGAACCTGGATTCCGGCGAGCTACTCCGCGTCCGCCAAAGCTCACACGGTTTCATGTGCTACTTGCATGTATCTCGTGTACATGTGAGAATTGTGCATAAGTACCTGTGATTCCTTGGACGTCCCGGTTAAACTGTTGGTGGGGGCTTATGACCACGGCTGAGGGGGAACTGCGTCATGCGTTAGCTCGTAATCCGGTTTTCCCCTCATTTTCAAGGCCATAGATGGCTAGAGGTGAGTTTTTAGCTGGTAGGCGGTCGGGATGGTTGTCGAGGTCCGGTGGATCTTCGCTCACTCCTGGCTTTGGCTTCTTGGTATTCCGTTTTGCCCGCGTGGGTTGCCTGGTCCTGGTCAGGGTGAGACGTGGTCCGTTCCCGGTTCTGCTGGAGCTCACCCCGATGCAAGTCCCGGTCGAATCCAGCACTACCCTGGTCCGGGCCAGGGTGTCTTTTGAAGATTTTCTCATCTCAAAACAAAAAAAAAAAAAAGGTGCCCTAGAGAGATCGTTTGCGACTGCACCGTTTTAGTTTCTTGCAGCCCTGCAACCATCAGCACGATATCTTCCACCTTAGCTTGAGACATCTAATGCCGCATAATTTGGTTAACGCAGCACTTGTCTTGCGGAATATTTGCCTGATGTTCGGCAATAATCAAGTGTGCGCGCCATTAGCCTCTTTGCTGTAGTGCCAAAGCACATACATTACCAGCAGGAACCACGAGGAGGTGAACCAATGACTTGGCCAGCAGAAGTTATTTGAGTCGCTATACCAGCCCGTAACCAAACTCAGGTACCATTATTATGTTCAGTTTCGAAGATTAACTGGTTCACTCATGCAACTCCCGCGCGGCGTGTTGCATTTCCGCGGCGTGTTGCTTTTCGCGGCGTGTTGCTTTTCCGCGGCGTGTTGCTTTACATCTTTTGCGTCGTGTTGCTTTGCCGCGGCGTGTTGCTTTGCCGCGGCGTGTTGCTTTGCCGCAGCGTGTTGCCTTGGCGCAGCGTATTGCCTTGGCGCAGCGTATTGCCTTGGTGCCGCATGCTGCTTTCGCATCTGAAAACCGTCCGTGCCAACGGCAGCGTGTTGCTTTTCTCTTCATATTGTGGGGTGTGTACCCCGCCTCTTTAACTTTCATGTTCAAAGAACTATTTTGCAGCCACCAAATTCCAACTGCAAGTTGGGAGTGAACTTGTCAGTAAAATAAAAAATAAAAAATAAAATAAAATAAAGCGCCGCACAATTAGGAAGCCCTCCCCAAATGGGGTCAGGGTGGTTCCTTAAGGAAAGCTCATCGCCAAATCGGGTCAGAGCACTTCCCAAGTGTTTCAAGTCCCGCCGTGTAGTCCATCACACAGCAGTAACCTTTCACACTCTTAGTCCATACTACTACAGTTGACGTTTTCCAGAGAGGCCGCCGGGCTTAGGCTGCGCATGGGCTAACCCTTCAGTGCAAGCACTGTAGGGCGCGCAGATTTACCAGCAGTCACCTCTCCAGTCCACATCACTGCATGCCTGAGTAGGACCGTTAGAAAGGATTACCCAGTTCCGTCTCAAGCAGGCAAGCTCAATAAAAACTTATAGGGTCAATCCCTCTTTGGCGCATAATTTTTGCAATAACGCATATCATATTATGATTTTATGTTAATTGGAACCAGTCTCTCTTCTAGACTGAAGTGCTAGGTGTTATTGCACTTTTAGATTATAGCGATCGATGGTCATCGCTTACGTCACTAATTAGATGACGAGGCATTTGGCTATTTTTTTTTTTGCATTGCCCGTCAACATTTAAGGAAAAGCCAAATGCTTCGGGAAATAGGACGAAGACATACAATTAGGGGGTCCAACGACGGGTAAGACCCGAAAGAACGCACCCAACGATACAGGACAAACAAGTGGAGAAATACAAGGAGATTTGGGGGACGGGTTCCCCACACAAATATTTGCCCCCGCTCACCCAATGCCCTCTCGATCCCGCTGCACTGGCCCGGTGTGAACCACAGATGTCATTTGATTCCACCGGGTCCAGTTGGTATGGCTGCCCTGCAGCACCCTAGTGGTAATGCCCCGTACTAGTCCCTTTGTGAGCCACATGCCCAGGAGCCAGTCAGCGGACGCAAGATACCAGATTCCCCTCCACGAGATGGTACAAGAGGAGAACCCGATGTCCGACGGATGGACGCCGGTCTCCCGAGAGATTGCCTCACGAAAGGTCGCGTTATCCCTATAATAACGCAGTTTGCGTTCGTGGGCATTCCCCAGAGGAGCTGCGTCGCTGACGACCTGCGTGTCCAGCACGACGGCCCGCGAGTCACGCAGGCAAAGCAAGTCAGGCTTGCGTTTGCCCTCGGCCGTGTTGTACGCAGGTTCTTTGCGTACGGTCCAGCCCGCGTTCCTCAGTCCTGCAGCCAGGACCCGGCACACTACGTTGTGCTGAAGAACGCGACCACCGTGGTTGCGGAAGCAACCCTGGATGACGTGCGCGGCTGTCTCGGTGGAATTACAGCCGGCCCGACATCTGGTGGCGTACAGCTCGCGCCTCACCCCCCTCGACGTACGAATACGCGTCGGAAGAGTATTAGCGCAAACATGCACGTGCTGGACGAAATCACGGCCGGAAATAGCGTGACTCCCGTGATCCACCCACCACGAGGACATGTTAGAATCCTGACACTCTCGCACAGTTCGTAGCTGTCCACCGATTGGTGGAGTCAGCGGGACCACCACTTGTCCCGCAGGTGTTTTGTGGCCAAACACACGCGTCCCGTGTGAGCGCTTGACGCGCCCACTCGCGGCGGATCACCCAGGTGTGTTGGGTGATGGCCTGCACCTGCGGGGCAGTCGAGGATTCCAGGTTGCGAAGACGTTGGTACAGCAGACTTGGAACCGTGGTGGCCAATGCGGGAATGCCAAGCCCGCCACTCGAGACCGGTGAGTGGAAGAAGGCCGTCGGAACGTCCTTTGGAAGACGAAGCCATCTGCAAACCGCCGCGCGAGTCTGTACATCCAGAGTTCTTAGCTTGCCAAGTGTGGCCCTTCCTAAGACCAGCGAGTGGTAAAGGCGAGGGAGAAGAAAGCAGCGGATGATTTTCAACCGCTGCTGGGGCTTCAAAGGTGCTCTGCTCAGCCGGCTCAGATACATCAAAATATCCGAGCCGACTTTCCTTGGCCCTGCCGGTCGGAAATCGACCCCCAGATACCGCCACTCGGCGGCGGTGTCTAGCTGCGGAAGCTGCGTGCCATCGCGCAGCTGGAACTGGAGGGCCGTGATGATCTTGATTTTCTTTTCCCGACCGGAAAGGACGAAGGACAGAACAGAGCACTTTTTCCCTTGGAAAAGAAGCCCCATCTCCCTGGCCTTGTCTTCGACCACTCGCAAACAGGTCTGGAGGCCCCACTTGGTGGCAGCAAATAGGAGAACATCGTCAGCATACGCTATGCTGTTGATACGATGTTCTCCAAGCTGGTATCCGACATCGGCAGGTATAGCTCTCATGACCACGTCTATCACCATGCAAAAGAGCACTGGCGATAGCGGGTCCCCCTGCTTGATGCCTCTGCCGATACCAGAGAGCTCGTACCTGACACCGCGCACTTCAAACTTCGTGCTGCTACGGGCGTAACTGTTCCCGATATAATTAATGAGGCCGTGAGGCAGACCCAGGCTAGTCAAGGCGTTGGTGATAGCACCATGGCTGACACTATCAAAGGCCTTCGCGAAATCCAGGGAGGCGACGTGCATTTCTCGACGACGGGACCTGGCATCCATTAAAAGGAATGCCAGTACGGCGACATTTTCACCGCACCCGTCGTCGACGCACCGCTGTCGAAGATTGACAACTCGCGAAGCCTCTGGGCCAAGATCTTATGAAGATGTCTCGCGACCACGAAGGTTATTGAGATCGGACGGAAATCACCCGGTCGAGAGCATTCGCCCTTTTTCGGAATGAAAACCGTCCGACTCACCAACAAATTTGCTGGAAAACCTTCGCAATGCAGCACGATGTTGAAGAGGAGAGCCTTGATAGAAAATGGCATGGCTCTTCATAAACGCATACTAATGCCGTCCAATCCGGAGGCCGAGTTGAGGGGCAGGTTGACGGCTGCCACCTCCTCGTAGGAGATCAGGGACCAGGTGCCCAGCAGCTCACGCTTGGGTGGAAGTTGCGGAGCTGCTTCCACAGGCGTCGAGGCCTGCGCGACGAACGGGCCCCAGTGTGCAGTCATCCGCTGCACATCCGGGACGACGTCCGTCTCGGAGGCACCGTCCAAGATCTCTTTGGCCGCGCGCGACATATGCGAGCGGAAAAGGCGCTGTACGCGCGCGTACTCCGCTCGCCGTCGCGCTCTTCTTGCCGGATTGGCGACTGTGCGTCTAGGCGGTCGCACTTGAGAGGTCGTCGGAGGATAAACGCTGGTCAGCCACGGACCCACGGACTCGATACTCCGCCTCTATCCAGTATTCCTGATCTGATTTGGACCAGGAAGTCGGAATTCAAACCCTGGATGGCTTCTACGACCAGGATGAGAGCGCGTATAGCGCCGGCAAAACTGCCGTACATCTCACCCCAGCCGGGAGAGGGTGGTGATGGCGGAGGCGAGGCCGGAGACCCACGACTGAAGATGGGTTGAGGGAAAGCAGAAGGACTGGAGCCGCCACCGGAGAGAAACGAACTCTCTCCAGACGTGGCGGACAGATCCTCCAGGGCCGCAGCAACGAGGCGCCGGTACTCGCCGTTCTTCTGCATTCCCTTGATTGCGTCAAGAGAGCAGTTTGGAATAACGGCGAGAAGGTGTTGGTTCATAAACCGGACACCCCGATGCACGGCAAGGGCTTCCTCTCTTACCATCATGCGCTGTTCTTCGGCGCTCCATTGGCGCTTTATCCTCTCGACGTTGACCTCCTCATTAACGATGGCTTCGTGGGCTCGGCGACGATGTAAGCCGAGCCTGGACTTAGTGCTGAACACGCGGTCGCAATCTGGGCATGGGTACTGTTCGGGCAAAGGGACAGGGGCAGGGGCAGCAAGGACAGCAAGGGGCGGTTGAATTTGAGCCGCAGCCGGTGGCCGGCGGGAACGGCCTGGAGCGAGCTCGGGCGAGGGAGACGAAGATGCGGCAGGACCGGCGGCCCGAGGCTGCCGCCGGAGATTGTACCTTTCTCTCTGTGACGTGCCTGCCTGCCGTAGGCCCAAGAGGCTGGCAACCTCACTAGCCCGAGTGAGATTATAATAATCAGATATTTGTTTTCTAATGGAACTTAAATGTAACTATTGCAAATAGCAATTGAGTTTGTTTTCCACCGTGTGCGGGAAATCGCAAATGAACACAACTCCTCTTGTGATTATTGAATAAAAAAATTAAAGCCTTTTATTTTCAATGTAAAGTACTTTGGTACACAAGAAAAAAAAGAAAGAAAATAAAGAATAAACTTTCACTGTTTAGTTGATGCATACAATGCATATGTCGAGACTTAATGATATTATCCTATACTAAAAACTATAAAATATAGCATAAAAACAAATGAATAATGGAAATTAGAGTCCCTAAAATATAGAGTCTGGCCACTTGCCCTCAAAATGGCGTCTTTGTGTGGTGGGGATGACTCATATTGACGAAGTGAAAAGTGAACATAAGTCGAGATTATCGAGTGAATATTGCATTACTTTTTTAATTATTTTGTATCGTGATTACGCAAATAGTTATAATAAAGGTCAGTATATATATTATCAATAATAACTTGTGTTAAATGTAAAATATAAATGTTAAGAATTATATCCTTTTTTATAAGAGTGAAATCCGTGAGTTGTTTTGTAATCTTACAATATGATGATAATGATAATTATAAAATAAATTATTGTACAGATATTAATATAATAAACATTTATTTACAGAATATATAAGATGCCTTACTGCTGCGTGCCAAAATGTTCTAATTCGTGGAAAAAAGGTTATTCTATGCATTGCTTGCCAAGGAATATTGACAGAAGACAACAATGGATTGCAAATATAAATAAAAAAATATAGATCTTTCAAAAGACTGGTTTGTATGCGAGGTAAGCTTCATATATTGTTTTGTAATACAAACATTTATAAATAATATTAATGTAATTAATATTCAACAGATACATTTTTCATCAGAAATGTGGAAAAAACCACGAATAGATGGAAAGAAAAAGCTGAAAAGTAATGCAATACCTACCATTTTTGGACATGTAAGTTCTATTTCTTTATATTATTATATTATTCATATTATATTAGTATTCTTTCTTATATTTGTTATATGTCACACAATGCAGAATGAAATAAACACTACATCAGCTATATTTGGAGAATCATCAAGCCAAGCCACAGTAGGAGAATCATTAACAAGCCAAGCCACACTAGGAGAATCATCAACAAGCCAAGCCACACTAGGAGAATCATCAACAAGCTAAGCCACACTAGGAGAATCATCAACAAGCCAAGTCACACTAGGAGAATCATCAACAAGTCTTGAGCTTAAGCTTAAGAACGCAAATATGATAATTGTTAAGTTAGATAAATCAAAAACTATACTTAAAAATCATATAAGATGGTTTATAGAGATCAAAACAAGAAATTAAAAAAACAAATATGTATTTTGAAAACAAACAAGAACTTCTGCAAGATATTAAATGACGATCAAATTATAGCTCTTAACAGACAAAATGCACGAAGTTGCAGGTGGTCCAATAATACTGTCATAAAAGCCCTTCGATTAAGAATGTCATGTGGTAGTAGTGGTTATAAAGAATTATTGAATCAGAATATTCCTCTGCCATCAGAGCGTACGCTTAGAAGAAAACTCGAAAATATTAATTTTGAACCTGGCGTTTGTGACCAAATATTTGATGTACTAGAGCAACAAGTTTCACAATTTACTGATGACCGAGAAAAAGACTGCATGCTAGCAATCGATGAAATGAGCATAACTGCAGAACAGATTGATCCGTTTACGAAGTGTTCTTTGGCATGTCATCTTTACCTGATAAACTTGGTATACACATAATATAATATAATATAATATACACTCACCCGAAAAAAAAGCGGTACACTGAAAATGTGAGAAAAATTCATCAAATTTCAACTGACGATAACTTCGTAAATAATAAAGATAGAAAGTTCTATAAAATATGGAAATGAAGCTAAAAATCTCTACTTTAAGAATCAATTTATTTCAATGTTGCAAAATAAATTTATTGAAAATGGCGGATGACAAAGCGCGAGCATGCAAAATTGAAAAATAATGGTTCGAGTTTGCGACGGTGCACGGTATAAACAAAAATTGTAGCTTATTGGGATTAAAAGCGTACGAAAGTACAGAGTCTCCTCTTTAAAATGCTTTTT